TGACCGGCAAATTGTGAATCGTTGTGACCAATTGTGACCTATTGTAACTGACTGTGACTATTTGTGACCAATTGTGACTCGTTGTGATCAATTGTGACCGATTGTGATTGATTCTGACTTGAAATTTTGGAAATTTTTTGGAAGTTGGGTGTGGGTGGATGGGGTGTGATTTCCAATTTTTAATTTTCTGAAAATTTTTAAGTTGTCGGAGCCGATGGCCGTCTCCGGTAGATACGGTATACAAGGATAAGATAAGGAATGCGAATTTATATCCATAAAGATGTAACATTGGTTGACGATAAATTAAGAGAATGACGACTTAAGTTGTTAGAATGTAGTTTTACATTGACCTAAAAAAAATTTGTTTATATGAGTGACACAATTTTAGGACCGATAGAAGAGGGATGTGTAGACACTTATCAAGGTTATTTAGATTTTAATTATTTTGTATAACTTTTAGCAATGAAATTCTCACGTTTTCTTCAGTATATCTAACTATAGAACAATCAACTGCTGCTCAAAACGAGCTTATACAATGAATTTTTGGCAATGACAATCTTTCAATTGATAACTATTCTCATATAGAATCCATAGAACATCAAATTTGAACTAATAAGCAAGATACACATTGATCTGCAGCAGTCTTTCAACTGCATTAGTCTCATGCTGGTTTGTGGCTGGGAAAGTTTTCACAGTGGCAAATCCCTTAGCATTAACATACTTCCCTGTGCCACCCATAATGGCCAGATGGGATTCGGCAACTGCGGTCCGGTGGACGCCGAATAGGTTAAGACTGTCAGCATAGCTTCCACTGGTAAACATTACAGTGAAAGCCATGGTTTGGCTATTTCCATCTTCTGAACTTGCCATGTAAAAGCCTTGCGCTTTTCCAACCAGGCCTGATCCAAGGTCGTGCCCTTTTGTTAATTCGTCGTTGAATACTGTCATTGTCCCGAACATGAGCTTCTGGAGAGTTGTCCCGGAAGAGAATTGTGCGCTGTCTAGGACAAGGAACCCAGGGACACCACCTATTATGTTGTTCTCGTTGTTGTTTTGCATTAAGTTGGAGGTGAATTGATGAAGGCAAAATAATAACTCAATTTAATTTCAGGTTTGTTCATTTTT